CTCTCCTTCTTCTCCTCTCTCTCCTCATCCCTCTCCTCTCTCTCTCTCTCTCTCTCCCTCTCCTCTCTCCCTCTCCCTCTCCCTCTCCTCTCTCTCTCTCTCTCTCCCCTCTCCCTCTCCTCTTCCCTCTCCCTCTCCTCTCCCTCTCCCTCTCCCCTCCCTCTCCTCTCCTCTCCCTCTCCCTCTCTCCCCTCTCTCTCTCTCTCTCTCTCTCTTCTATCTATCTATCTATCTCCTCTCTCTCCCTCTCCCTCTCTCCCTCTCTCTCTTTCTCCTCCCTCTCCTTCCTCTCCCCCTCTCGCCTTTTTCCCCTCCCCCCCTCCTTCCGTCTTTTACGTTAATTATTCAGATTCGAATGTGATTTCCGGTCCATGTATCGCACCTGTATAATGAGAAAAAAAAAGAAGAAAAAAAAGTGGCTTTTAAAGGAACTCTCCGTGTGGGTCGCGTCTTTTCTCTTTGTTTGTTTGTTTGTCTGTTTGTTCGCTTGTTCCTTTGGCTCGTTCGGTTTCAACGTCTGTCTGTTCTTGCAAGGATGATTGAGGATTATTTAGACAAACAGACGCACACACACACGAATTCATTTACATACGCACACAGGATACGCCTACTGTTTCTGTAAATCAACGAAACCACAACTACATTGTAGAGAGAGAAAAAAAAAATTAATTTGTGATAAAACTCTCCTCTCCCCCCTCCCTCCTCCCAACCCCCTTTCCCCCTCCCTTCCCAACCCCCCTTCCTCCCTCCCCGCAAACCCCCCCTTTCCCCCTCCCCTCCCAACCCCCCCCTTTCCGCCTCCCCTCCCAACCCCGCCTTCCCCCTCACCTCCCCACAAAACCCCCCCTTTCCGCCCTCCCCTCCCAACCCCCCCTTTCCCCCTCCCTCCAACCCCCCTTTCCCCCTCCCAACCTCCCCAACCCCCCCTTTCCCCTCCCTCCCGCTCAGCCCAACCCCACTTTCCCCCTCCCCTCCCAACCCCCTTTCGCCCCTCCCTCCCCACCCCACCCTTCCCCCTCCCCTTCCCCCCCTTTCCCTCCCTCCCCAACCCCCTTTCCCCCTCCCCTCCCCAACCCCCCTTTCCCCCTCCCCTCCCCAACCCCCCTTTCCCCCTCCCTTCTCCCCCCTCAACCCCCTTTCCCCCTCCCCTCCCCAACCCCCCTTTCCCTCCCCTCCCAACCCCCTTCCCCCTCTCAGCTCCCCCTCCCTCCCCAACCCCCCCTTTCCCCCCCTCCCCTTTCCCCCTCCAACCCCCCTTTTCCCTCCCTCTCCCAACCCCCCCTTTCCCCCTCCCTCCCGCAAACCCCCCCCTTTCCCCTCCCCCCCCAACCCCCCTTTCCCCCTCCAACCCCCCCTTTCCCCCTCCCCTCCCCAACCCCCCCTTTTCCCCTCCCTCTTTCCCCCTCCCCTCCCAACCCCCCCTTTCCCTTTCCCCTCCAACCCCCCCTTTCCCTCCCCTCCCCTCCCCACCCCCCTTTTCCCTCCCTCCCAACCCCCCTTTCCCCTTTTCCCCCTCCCAACCCCCCCCCTTCCCTCCCCTCCCCCCCCCTCCCCCCCTTCCCCTGACCCCCGCCCCTTCCCTGACCGCCCGCCCACCCCAGCCGCGGGGTCCCGGATCGGGCGAGGAAGCCAATCCGGAATGGTCTTCGGGATCCGAGGCTTCGTGATCCGCCTCGGCTCTGGGGAACGAGTCGGGAGAGGCGAATTAGAGCCTTAGGAACCTCGGGCGGAAGGGCTAGATTGCTTTGCGCTGTGTTTCGGGAGGGTGATAAGGGGGGGGGGGGGGAGGGGGAGAGGGGGGGTCTTTGGGGGGAAAATGGCGCGTCTTTTTCGGGTTTTGAGGTACGCTTTATTGACGTCTATTCGGTGCTTGGAGTCGCCGCTGCTTGAGGGAGGATGTGTGTCTGTGTCTGTCTGTGTTGCTGTCACTTTGTCTGATGTGTTTTTGTCTGTATATGGGTATGTGTCTCTGTACACCTATGTGTATGTATTCGTGTGTACCTGGATATGCGTGTGTGGATGTGAGTGTCATAATATGGTTGAATGTGTGCATATATATATATATATATATGCGTGTGTGTGCCTGCGTGCTTATGTGCGTACATACGGCATACGACAAATGCACACATCCTTGTACGTGTATGTGCGTGTGTGCGGACTCTAATTGTGAATTTATATCACCTCGGCTCCGCGTCTGATTAATTCCGAGGTCCGGCCTTTTCGCGTATTCTATTAAAGCGACAATTGCATATTCATTGCTGGCCGATTGATCGCTTTTCGTCCGGGCGGGGGTCACGTGTCACGCTTTTTGATCGGCCGCTTGCTTCTCTTCCTTCCCTTTTCTTCCTCTTCCTCTTTAGTTCCTCCTCTTCTTCTTTCTCCTCTTCCTCTTCTTTTTTCCTCTTCTTTCTCCTCTTCATCTTCCTCTTCTTCTTTTTCTTCTTTCTCCTCGCATTCTCTTGTACGTCATCCTCTTCCAACTCCTTCTCCCACTTCCTCCTCCTCCTCCATTTTATCTTCTTCTTCCTCTTCCTCTTTTATATCTGCCTCTTCTTGTTCTCATTCTCCCTCCTCCTCTTCCTCCCCGTTACCTTCCTCTATTTTCCTTCTCTTTAATGTTCTCTTTTCCTTTCTCTTCTTCTTTGTCTTCTTTCCACCTTCTTTCTCTTCTCTTTCTTTCTGACTCAAATAGTGTTGATAATCACTTTTAAGAAGAAGAAAATGAGTTAAGAAACGCTGTCAGACTCGAATGAATGACACTTTTGATTTACAGTTAAAGGAGAGAGAGTGTGGAAGGGACAGACAGTCACTCAGTCAGACAGTCAGTCAGTCAAGTCAGACTGTCAAGTCGGTCAATAAGTCAGTCAGACAGTCAATCGGTTAGTCAGACAGACAGTCAGTCAATCGGTCAGACAGTCACAGTCCAGTCATCAGTCAGTCAGTCCAGTCAGACAGTCAGTCAATCGGTCAGACAGTCAGACAGTCAAGTCGGTCAATAAGTCAGTCAGACAGTCAGTCGATAAATCAGACAGCCAGTCAATCAGTCAATCAGTCCGTTGATCATCAGTGGCCATTGTTCGGCGTGCATCCGGCCGCCGAGCGGAGCATCACCGAGAAGAGAAAGAAAAGCAAGGAGAGCGAAAAGGACAATAGACATGAGATGCAAAAAGAATGTAAAATGTAATCAAATATTGAATTGTCATGTAACGCTAAATCTTTTTGTCAAGACTGAGATCATCTTTAATCATTAAAAACCTGAAATTAGTTTATGATATACATATACGTGTGTGTGTGTGTGTGTGTGTGTGTGTGTGTGTGTGTGTGTGTGTGTGTGTGTTTATACGCATGTATGCATATGTATATGCCGAGATCCTTGATTCGACATTTAATTAAGATGTATTAGGTAGTTCTGGCTGACGGAGAGGGCAGGACAGCATTGCCAAGACTCCCGAAATATTTATAAGCGTAGCATCATATTTGTTCAGTGACTCCCGACGCTCCTGGCACTCATGGCAGTGGCGGTGCCGGGTATTTGAGGCCTCGTTTTTAACCGGAAGTTACGGATTTATGGACGGAAACGGGAATTAGAATAATGTTAGAACTGTAGATACTATATTATTGTCGGATCTTTTTTTTTTTTTTTTTTTTTTTTTTTTTTTTTTTTTTTTTTTACAGCATTGGCACTGGTCAAAGGTGACTGAGTCTCAATCGTGTCAAGGAATGAATGGAAAATGGAAAATTAGAATCAAAGTAATATGATAAAGAGCAATGCAATTAAATTAGATGTGAGAGATTGATTACTTTATTGTCCAAGGCCGGCTCAGTCAATTAAGTAATTTTTTTTTTTTTTTTTTTTTCGGTATCATGACCGGTTGAAAATAAATAGAATTATCATTTTGCTTAACAGCCTTGTTGTGCAAGTCAATTTAATGAAATGTTTTATCCCAAATGGAGATGGCAACAGTTTAAGGACCAACTCATAGAAAACGGAAAGATATCGGTTGAGTCTCGATCGCGTCCCTTTTTTATATCTTTATTTTTATATATTTTTTAATCTTTTTGTGATTATTGCGGATTTATAATTAGCAGGAGAAAGAAGGAGAATTAGCTTTAGATTTCAAGAAAGTTCACTGACGACAATATTCATTACTTTTTCTTATATTCATTAATCCTAAGATTAAAGAATGCATAGCAATATTCCCCCTGTTTATTCTCATGATCATAAACTACAAGAAATTAGAGGTGATGTTCCCGCGACCGATCTATCTTCGCCGCCAATCAACAAGGGAGTAGATCGAAGCCATAAGAAACTGCGAAGTCATGCCACTCAAGGAACCCTTCAAGGAACTCAAATGAAAGGGTTAAGTAGATCTGGAGGCCGTGTCGAGGGACCGCACCTTCGGGAAGTATGTAAGGTTCTCATTTGATTAAAAGACCCCCCCCCCACAACACATTGGCTGGAACAACTTTGAAATTAAAAGTCCCCGAAGTATGTGTGTGTATATAGTAATATATATATATATATATATATATATATATATATATATAATATATATATATATATATATATTATATATTATATATATATATATATATATATATATATATATATATATATATATATATTATATATATGATATATATATATATATATATTATATATATATATATATATATATATATAGCACATATATATGTGGGGGAGAGAGGGTGTTTTGTGTTTGTGTTCACAGACGTTCCATCCCGCTCCAGCGCCAGTAATTAGCGCTCTTTCAGCGGCGGCTCCGAGAGGCGGCCCGAGGCGCCCCGCTGCCTCGCCCCGGTCGCCATGGCAACCACCGGGCATCGGCGTGGCGGATATTTCCCTGATGTCGCTCCTCCCGAGGTGGTCTGGAGGAGCGATGGGGCGGTAGTTACTTTATCTTTGTACGAAAGGGATTAGGAACTGCTTGTTTTTGTTGTTTTATTGATGTCTGATTTTTGTTTTTGTTTGAGGAGCAATGGGGTCACGTTGCTCTAATGGAGTTGATGATGGAAGCATTGGTATTCTATATTTCGAAGGTCTAAATATGTTCTCGTGATTAGATTTTTAAGGTCATATTATATTTAGATCTTTATCATCATGGTTGCTATGGTGATTATTATTTTTTTTTTATTATCATCATCATTATCATTATCAATTTTGTTATTTTTTATCATTATCATTATTATCAATGCCATTGTTATCATTATTTCTGTTATTATGATTATTGCTGGTATTGTATATTCTTCATGTACGTATTTAATATTAACCCAGACTTGTAAGATATGTATGACCTTTGACCTTTCGAACCTGCTATGACTAACCCCCCCCCCCTTTGCCCTTTCCGCAGGTCAGTATGGCGGGCCCTGCTGCTGGGTCAGGTGGCCTCGCTCCTGCTGTGTGTCACGGGCGCCTGCTGCCACCTGCTGAACAAGACATACCACCTTCAGCTGCCAGCAGGTGAGCCATTCAGGGAAATTCTGAAACTCTGAACTATCTTTTTGATTAGAAAGTGGAGGGGTTTGTTTAGCAGTTGATGAGGGAAGCTTCTTGGGGGTGTGTTTGGGAAGTGCTTCGTTTTGAATTTGACAAGTTTGGTGTTTCGAGTTTGAACTGGGAAGGATAAAGTTTTATTTTGTATTTATTTTTTTTTTTTTTTTTTTTTGGGGGGGGTAATTTTGAACTTCATGAATGCTTTTTTAGAATTTATAGAATTTAGAAAGTAGTGTTTCCTTTAGAATTTAGAGATGAATTGGCGGTATTTGTGTGAATAGGGTTAGAAACGACCTTTACGTTTTATATGATGTAACGAGAACATTTACCTAAAGTAATTTGTTTTTGGTTATCATGTAATTGCATTTATTCTGGGCTTGATGAAATATTCACTTCCGGGTATAACGTGATGTAGTAATATTCTTTTTGATGTGACGTAATGGTATTCCATCTCTGGATATGACGTCATAAAGAATTTACTTGCGGGCATAAAGCAACATCGGCCACGGTATGTTAGGGAGAAGGGGAGGGGGAGGGGAGGCGGGGGGGGGTGGGGAGGCAGAGCACGAAGTTTGTTGGAAAAAAGTTTGGTTCCCCTTCCCCCTACCCCTCCCCTCTCCTTCCTCATCCTCTCTCTCTCTCTTCTCTCTCTCTCTCTCTCTCTCTCTTCTCTCTCTCTCTCTCTCCTCTCTCTCTCTCTCTCTCTCTCTCTCTCTCTCTCTCTCTCTCTCTCCATCTATTTATTCTATCTGTCTCTAATTCTCTCTCTCTTCCCTCCATCCCTCTTCACTCTTCCTTCTCTCTCTCCTTCCTCTCCCACTCTCCCTCTTCCCTTTTCTTTCTTCCTTCTCCCTCCCCCTCTTCCTCTCCCTCTCCTCTTCCTCCCCCTCTCCCTCTCCTCTCCCTCTCCCCTCTCCCCCTCTCCCTCTCCCTCTCCCTCTCCCCTCTCCCTCTCCCTCTCCCTCTCCCTCCCCTCCCCTCCCCCTCCCCCTCTCCCTCTTTCCTCCCTCTCTCCCAGTCCTCCCTTTACACAAAGGAATCACAATGTCATTAATTATTTTATTAATCCGAAACGGTACTAGGAAGGGGGGGGGCGGGGAGAGAGGGTTGTCGGAGTATGTAAGACTGTGTGTGTGTGTTTGTGTGTCTGTTTCTGTATGCGTCTGTCTGTGTCTACGTTCAAATTGTGTTTGAGTTTGTTTTTTCATGTGTGTGTGTACCTTCGTGTGTGAATTTGTGTTCTGTGTGTATGGTGTGTGTGTGTGTGTGTGTGTTGTGTGTGTGTGTGTGTGTGTAAGAGAGAAGAGAGACAGACAGACAGACAGACAGACAGAACAGACAGACAGACAGACAGACAGACAGACAGACAGACAGACGGACAGAGATAGACAGACAGATAAAGAGAAGAAAGAGAGATATATCAGAGGAGAGGATGAGAAGGGGCGAGGACAGAGGAGAGAGGAAGGAAGGAAAAAGACAAAAGGAACAAGAAGCGAAGAGGGGAAAGGCAAGGACCTCCATCTTGCAACCCTAACGACCGCCTTTTTGCAACATTCAGTCCACTGGAGAATGACGAATGGCTTTGCAATGCGTGCACTGCGATAAGATTGCAGAACCGGCGAGCTATACGACCTCTGTTTGCGATTAGGCCGCCTGCTTTTCCTCATTAGGCGGTTTGTATGTGTAATCAATTTCCTTTGTTGGTTTACGAGTCGGAGATTCTGCAGCCGAAGTCGACCTCAGGCGATTCGGAGGCGGCGGTGGGCGGGGCTTCCCTTCGGATTTCGGATGCGAAGGCGGGCGGGGCGGTTCGGAGCTTTTCCGATCTTCTCTTTCACTCGTTTTCTATCGAGGCTCGGAGACTCTTCTCTCTCTCTCTCTCTCTCTCTCTCTTCTCTCTAACTCTTCTCTATCTATCTATCTCATTTCATCATCTATCTATCTCTATCTATCTATCTATCTAATCTCTCTTCTCTCTCTCTCTCTATCTATCTTCTATCATATCTATCTATCTATCTCTCTCTCTCTCTCTCTCTTCTCTCTCTCTCTCTCTCTCTCTCTCTCTCTCTCTCTCTCTCTCTCCTCTCTCTCTCTCTCTCTTCCCTCTTCCCTTCTCTCTCCCGCCTCCGCCGGCGACGCAGCAGCCGACGTCCGGGAAAGGCCGAAGGATTCCGTTCTGCTGGCAACCGTCGGGTGGCAGCTCGGACGCTCATCCGGCCGCACGTGTTGCAAGGCGTTTCTTTCTTTTGCAAAGAAGAGGATACTTTTTGTCTCTCGCATTGCATATGCAAAATTTCTATCAAATCAGAAAAGATTTGACTCTCGTTGCATGAGCTTAAATTCCTCTGCGTTGCAAAGCCGAAGTCTAATTCGCTGCAAAGTTGCATTTTCATCTGTTGCAAAAATGAATCATCTGGCTCAGTACTACGAAGACGAAGTATTTCGAAGTAGATATTTTCTCTCGTTGCAAAGCGGATTTCCTCCCGTTGCAAAAAAACATTAGCCCCCTCCTGTTGCAAAGTTGAGAGCCCCGCCGCTGCGAAGTTAAGAGTCCTTCTCTGGCAGAAAAAGGGACTCTCGCTGCAGAGCTGATTATCCTTCTTTTGCAAAGTTGGGGCCCCATCTGTTGCAAAGTTCAGGATCCTGCCGTTGCAAGCAGGGCCGGCGACGCCTCCTTTGCATAATGGGCGGCGTTGATTGGGGGCGGGGGGGGGGGGGGGCTCTGTGTTGTGTGTGTGTTTGTTTGTGTGTGTGGGGGGGTGTTGTCTGTGTTTGTTTGTTTGTCTTTATGTGTTTGTTTGTTTGTCTATGTTTGCTTGTCTGTGTGTTTATCTGTGTTTGTGTGACTGCGTATGTGTCTGTCTATGTATGTGTTTGTCTGTGTATATGTGAGTGTTAGTTTCTCGTGGTTGCGTGTCTGCGTACTCTTATAAATGTGATTGCTCTCGTGTTATAGAAGTCTTTCATTTGTTTCAGAATTCACGTGTCAATGTAGTTGTACATAGATTTTTTTTTTTTTTTTTTTCAATATAAGGGAAGGAAGTGGAATCGAAAAGATTAGATTTTGAAGCTGAATTGGCAGCTTTTGGACCGGAGTTTTACCGGTTTTTTGTCACGCGCCGAAATTAATTGTTTTTTTCTCTTTCTTCTCTCTGTCAGCTGATTGCATTTTTTCGTTGTTTTTATTTTTTTTTCTTGATCTCTTTTTCTTCGTTGCTTTTTGTTCTTTTTCTGTTCTTCTCCCCACACTTATTTTTTTGTTTATTAATCATTATTGTTGTCGTTATTATCATTATTGTTATTATTATTGATATTGCAATTATTATTTTATTATAATCGTTTTAATTATTATAACTATTGTTTTTCTTTTTTTCATTGGTGTTATTGTTGTCGTTATTCATCTTTCTCCTCTTCTTCCTTTTCTCTTCCTCATTCATTATTTCTTCTTGCTTTTATTATTCATATTCTTCGTCACCGACTTTCCTTGTATGTGTGTGTGTGTACATAAATGTATATGCATGCAGAGGAGAGAGAGAGAGAGAGAGAGAGAGAGAGAGAGAGAGAGAGAGAGAGAGAGACGAGAGAGAGAGAGAGACGAGAGAGAGAGAGAGAGAGACGAGAGAGACAGAACAGACGAACAGAACGTAAGAGCACGAAAGGGTAGCCTTAGCCTCTTTCCAGCAAAGACAAGCAAAATGTCTTTGTATTTTGTTTTCTTCCTCTTTTCTTGGGGGGGGGGAGGGGGGATGCGGAGGTTTGTTTCCTAATGAGATGTTCAGTCTTCTCGAACGTCTTTCGCTGAGCGCTCTCGTAATACTTTCTTGTGTTAATGAATGTGTTTTTATTTCGGAGTTCCACTGGTTTGTTGTTTCGTTTCGTTTCGTTTCGTTCGTTTCGTTGTTTCGTTTTTTTCTGCTTTGTAGTTTTCCTTCGGGTGGTTCGTGTAAAGCGAGGGTGGGTGGTGAGTGTGTGTGTGTGTGGTGTGTGTGTGTGTGTGTGTGTGTGTGTGTGTGTGTTGTCGTGTGTGTGTGTGTGTGTGTGTGTGTATGTGTATGTGTGTGTGTGTGTAAAGAGAGAGAGAGAGAGAGAGAGAGAGAGAGAGTCTGAGAGTGTCTGAGTGTTGAGAGAGTTCACATTTAATCATGGTAGTTAGTGCGAACACATGCATGTATATATGTATGTGCGGGAGTGTATGCATATTCCTCGTTAACAGCAATTGGCACGAGGCATCGGACGCTGACACACACCGGCACTCGCGTTTCGCTGCGAGAATAATCAGCTGTTGAAGTTTGCGATGGAGGGAGGGGAGAGGCGGGAGGAGAAGGTGAGGGGAACGAAGAGAAGGGGAAAGATGGAGAGAGATTGGGGGTAGGAGAGAAGAGGAAGAGGAAGAAGGAGAAGGGAAAGGTGTGAAGGAAATGGAGAGAAGAAAAAAAAAAAGATAAGAAGGAGGGAGCGGGGAAGGGGAGGGAAAGAAGGAAAAGGGAGGGATTGAAATGCGAGGAAGAGAGAAGGAAAACAAATGAAGAGAAGGGAAAGGAAAGGAAGGCATTAGTGCCAAGTCACCGCCGCGTTCACGATGACCGGGGATAGCGTGCCATTGTTTCAAGGGACGCGGGCACTATCGAAGGAATAATATTGGTTGAAAGGGTGCCAGTTTCCCGTCTTCTTCTTTTCTTTTCTTTTCTTTCCCTTTCTTATTTATTGAAAACCCGTTCTTGTGAGGTAACGTTTGGTTCTATTGTTTTAGTTATTAGCTATTGTTGCTGCTGGGATGGAGGTAGTGAAACGTGGGTATAAATCCCGTAGAGTTTTGTCAGCATTTAGGAGCTTTTGAGATTTTGAGAACCGTTTCTTGCGACATAAAAGAAAGAGAAAATCACCGCGAGAGAAAGGAAAATGTTTTAGCTGCAGTTTTTTTTTTTTCATTTTCTTTATGTATACTCCATCTTTGTACTTACAATGTG